GGGACATGGGTTCCAGGCCCACCTCTTTCTGACAAGGCCCCTGTGAGTGGACCTCACTTTATCAAAGACCTCTGGACAGATACATCAATGACTGGGCATGGCTGCCGGGAGCTGCTGTACCATCTGCAGAGCTGGAGTAGCTGGCTCACCCAGCCCTCAGGCCTCCCGGCCACCAGGCTCCCTAGCCACTCTGAGCTGCTGGCTCTGGGAACTACTTCAGGACTCACCCATGTTCTACTAACTCTCTCTTGTCCACTTTGGCTCATTTCTAGGGCAAGTGGAGGGCTTTGTACAGGGGACCCTACCCCCCCCCCCCCCCCCCCATTGATCCCTTCCAGGCTGGACCTACCTTCAAGATTCCATCCTAGTCTCTGCCAAAAACATTGTTGGCAAGGCCAAGGACCAGCCCTGCCTACGTGAGAATCCACCCTGGGGCCAGTCTGACCCGCCCAGTGGCTATCTAGCTAACCACTGAGCTGCGCAGCCCAGCTGTCTGTCTCATCACAAGGATGTCCTGAGAGCCTTGCTGAGTGGAGCGGCCAGGAGAGGGCACGTGGCTCTGAGCTCCTCAACTGTGCTGCTGTCTTTCCTGGTGTTCTGGGCAGCACCTGTAGAAGGTCTATCAGAATGGATGTGAAACTCAATAGTCTAAGCCCAAATTGGCTTTTACAGCCTTCTTAAAACAAAAGGGGAAGGATGTCAATGAGTGCCGGTTCTTGACATATTTCATTGATTTTTCATCACAGCTGTGGGGGAGGGCTGTGTTTGCCATCCTACAGATGAGGGAATGAAGCCTTGGGAAGTGAAATAACTTACCCGGGGTCCCTGACAGCAAGGGGCAGAGCTGGGGGGGCTCAAACCCTGGATGTTCTTCCTCTCAAACTTACGCTTTCCCAGATGCTGTCCGCCACGCAGCACCCATGCTTCCTCCTGTAAGTTGTCACAGGTCAGCCAGCATGCTCTTCAGCCAGCACATCCTGGGACCCTGCTCTGAGCAAGCCCCTCCGCCCACTCCCATCCTGCCAGAACTGTCTCCTGTCAGCCTGAGGGTGGTACCTCATCCCTGCCCCTCCCCACACACTGCACACTGGGCCAGGGAACAGAACAGGGGCTTGGGGAGAAAGATGCAGGGGATGTGAAACTAATTGGGGGTGTGAGTGACAGTCTTCATGGGTGGCTCATCTGCTGTGATGTTTTTAGTAGTTATGTTTGATTTGGGGGCGTCTGTGGTAAAAGCAGTGTATGTCTGGGGTGGAAGATCTGGGAGTCATTCTTGATGTCTTGTTCTTACCCCACCCTCACATCCAGCTCACCAGCCACCTGCCACGGCTTCTGCCCCATCTTACACGCTGAATCTGGCTAGTTCCTGCTTCCCCCTGGCTGAGCCTGGTCTCCTTGTCCTGGGACAGCTACACACTCGTGCCTTGTTCCCTCGCCTGCTCCCCCTCAGTGCAGGCTCCACTCAGCAGCCCCAGAATTTCATGATTAAGAAAATATCATAGCCTGTCCCTGTTAAGCACCCCCAGTGACTTTTCATCACACTCGGGGTGAAATCCGAAGCCCTTACCTCCGCCCCTGGGGCCCAGTCCCTCTGCAGCCCCGTTTCCCATTTCCCGCAGTTGCCCCCATCCCTGCCCACCTCATTCCAGGCACCCGGCCTGCCTGCTGCTCCGCAGACACCTGGATTTCTTCCCGCCTGTGCTCTGTCTGCGCCCCCTGCTCTGGGTGTGACTGATTTCCTACCGGTAGTGTCAATTCAGACGTGACCTCTGCCGAAGGCCCTGCCGATCCCCCGGCTGCAGTAACCCCTAGCTCCAGCCCAGGCACTCTGTCTCGCAGTGCCAGGCTTGATGATCTTAACTGCGCTTACCACGTTCTGGAATTATCTTGTTTATTCATTTGCTTACCATATGTAACCCTGTCCCCATGAGAGCATCAAATTTGTCTGTCTTGTATCCCACGGAATCCCTAGAACCTGTAATACACCTGGCATATAGTAAGTGCTCAATAACTATTTGGTTACAGAATGAAAAATAACACGGAAACATGTAAAGGAGAAATAGCAGATTATATAATCATGGATATAGTGGCAGCTAATAATGTAATGGGTGTGCACGTGCGTGTGTGAGCTGGGAATCACCTTTTTAATGTTAGGCTTGGGGGGTCCTTAGGCCTGAAGCACAGCATGCATGGGAGACACACACACGTACGTGTGGGTCATATGCACGCACATGCATGTGTGCACACGTGTTTCCCTGTTCAGTAGCAGTGTGACCTCTGGAGACGTCTTTCAGCATTTGGGCCTCAGTCGCTCTGCCTGTGGAATGGGGCTGCCTGGGGCTGCCTGAGGTCTGGATGCCATGGCCTCTTGAGGTCAGCCCTTGCCAGTGGCTGTGCTGTGCCGAGGTGGGTGGGGTGTTTACTGAAGTCCACCTCCACGCATAGCTGCTTTCCTGCCCTCTGAGGTACTCTCACCCAGGTAGGGAGTGGTCCAAGGCAGGAAATTGGCAGAAAAGCCTGGAGATGTGAGCCTTGCTGCTGGGAGCTGCATTACTGTCACATTCGAGGCGCCTTAGATGCATCGGTAGCTTCAATTGGATACATTTTTATTTTTGTGTGTGCTTGTTTTTGTTTTCTAAAAAACTTTGACACATTTATTTTAGTTCTTCAACTTTTTTTCTTTCAATTGCTACAAAAAGAATTTCCATGAAATTAAAGAGGGAACACACACACACACACACACACACACACACACACACACACATACCCGTGTTTCCACCGCCCCAAGGCAGCAACTGCCCCCTCCCTGCACCTCACCCTTTTCCTGTGAGCAGAACTTTGCAGAACGTGTGGGATGCAGAAGTGACCCTGGAGCTCAAGCAAGTTACTTTATCTCTCTGTGCCTCAGTTTCCTTATCCAAAACATGAGAGTCTCATAATTGCTCCCTCTTACGGTTGTTGTACAGAGTGCATGAGTCAGCATTTATTAAGCACTTGGGAAAGTGCCTGGCCCTTAGTGTGTGTTCATTAAATCAGATGAGTAAGTAACTAAAAAGGAAAGTGCTCCCATAAGGCCACCGTCCTGGCACAGAGAGCCAGCAGTAGCAACTGTCCTTGAAGCCAGCAGTCAGAAGTTCAAGCCCTAACTCTGCCTTTGCTCCCCGTGTACCCAGGGGTAGGTGTGTGGCCTCTTTAAGCCTCAGCTCCTCCATCTGTAGAATGGTCACGTAATTTGGACCCCACGATGCTGCAGTGTGTCCAGGGGTAACAGGTGTGAGTGGGCTCAGTGAACATGGAGCTCTGTACACCACGGCAACGCAACTCCCACCTCATCCATTTCCTCAGTTTTCTTGCTCAGTATTGATAGGTAAACATTGCTGTGGGTTGCTGTCTAGCTCGGTGTTCATCATTTTTAATGGCTGTGTAATATTCCATCGAGCAGAGTTGTCATGATGCACTTTGTCATCTCTATTGTGGGATGTTTAGGCAGCTTCAAACATCTTGCTATTATAAATAACCCTACAATGAAGAGCTCTGTGCCTGGAGCACTTCCCCTCTGATGGATGACTTCCCCAGGTGACCTCAGGGACATTCATTGAGGCTGCTTTGCCAGGGGGCCAAGAGACAGGCCAGCACCTGGGAGAAGGAGGTCCCTTCAGAGGTGGCCTGATACCCTGCCCCAGGAGCAGCATGGGTAGGGGGGCAGCAAGACACTCAGGTGACAGTGCTGAGCATGATGGGAAAAGCAGAGCATCTGTGGGAAGGGCAGCGGGTGCTGTGGAGAGTTGGGACGAGATGGTGGAGGAAATAGGTTCTAGTTTTGCCTTCACCATGCTCTTGCTCTGTGACCTTGAGCAAATTTTTTCCTCTCCCTAGATCTCAGTTTTCTCCATGTACTGTGGCCAGGGGATGGGCAAGCGTTGGTCCAGAGGTGTGCTGTTCACTATGATAGCCACTAGCCACATGTGGCTATTTTCATTTAAATATGAATTAATAAAAAAAGTCAATTTCTTATTACACTATCCACTTTCACTACCCAGCTGTGGCTAGTGGCTACCACATTGAGCAGCAGAGGCACAGAACACTTCTACCATTGTAGAAAGCTCTATTGGACAGTGCTGGTCTAGAGAGCTTTAGAGATCCAGCCTTACTGTGCTGTGATGGGGGCTCTGTCATCAGGCCTTCTTATGGAACCAACAGGAAGGTGGGCAGCCCTGAGCGCAGAGAACTCGTTAGGGACCTAAAGAGGCGAAGCGACTTTCCAGGGGCCAGACTCTGAAAGTGTCCTGAGTCTGAAGTAGCCATACCCCGTTTCTCTCCCTAAAGGTCCCAGCTTGGCCTCAGAGAAGCTGGGGAAGAGTGTGGGCTCTGCAAGGGGAGGCCCCCAGTCAGGGACGGTGCCCAAGGGAGGCTGGCATGAAGGCAGAGCAGGGGGTCTCCTGCCTCGTCGACGGAGGGCACCCGGAGGGTCTACACTGCTCTCCGCCATGCCTAAAACACCACCATCCATTCTCTTGGGTCAAACGTTACCCTCTCTAGGATTCGTTTAGGAATCTAGACTGGAGATCAAAGCTGATGGCTGCCTCTGTCAGCCTGTCCCACTCCTGCTGCCTCAGGCCTAGGCCAGCTCGGGACTCTCCCTGGGAGAAGAGCTGTGAGAAGTGAGTCCACGCACTGGAGGGTGAAGCTCCCTTCTCCTTCCCCACCTCCAAACTCACACTCTTGCTGCAGCACCTGAGTTTCAGCTGCACCTGCTCCCAGCCCTCCCTGTTCTTTAAAGGCAAGCCTCCTGCAGGTGCTTTTGTACAGCTTGGAGGTTCTGCAGGAGGAGGGGAGGACCTGGGGGAAGGGCAGTAAATGGGGGAGACAAGGAGCAGACAGTGAGGAAGTGACGGCCAGCTTGACTGGTCTCTCCTCTGTCAGGGTGTGGCTGCTGTCTGCCCTACTCCTCTGTCTTCAGCTGAATCGTACTGCTCACTCTTACTTCTCGTGTTTTCTAGGGATTCCATTGCCAGGTCCTGGCTGCCCTGATCTGTGGGGCCACACAGCCTCCCGTTCGCATTTCAGAACCCTGGCCTGGTCCAACCCCTGGACCAGCTACCAAGTTTCCTCTTCATCCCGGCCTGGCCCAGGTGGACTCCTCAAGCTTCAGGACTCAACAGGGCACAGTAGCAGTCACGGTAGGTGACACCTCACCCCACCCATTCCCTGGCTTCTGGGGATACCTGAGCTGCTTTGGTCTTTGGAACAGGAAAGATACCTTTCTGAACACTGTATCTGTCACAATCCCTTTGGTTGCAAGTAGCAAAAAATCTATTTCAAAAAATGAAATGATCAGCTCATGTAACTGAAGTGTCTAGAGGTAGGATGGGCTTCAGGCTGGGCTTGATCTTATGGTTCAAACAGTGTGACCTGGATCTGGTTTCTGTCCGTAACCTTCCATTGCACTTCTTCGGTGATGCTCTACTAGTGGCATTTCACAGGGTATGATCACAAGATGTCTGCCGCAATTTCTGAGGTAACATTCTTCCAGGTTTTAACCTGGATTGGAGAAGGACAAAATTTGCTTCCTTACAGAACAAATAGAAAGTCCTGGAGTTGGTCTCTTGTACCCTATTGGCAAGATTTGGATCACCTTGATCCTTTAACTGGGTCCACGGGACTTACAAACACAGATGGGCTGGGCTTCAGGGTCTATCGGCCCCCAACAGTGTGACCAGTAATGAGGGGAAGGTGTTTGCTAAAGAAAGTGTGGGGTTCTGCTGCAGGAAGGAGGTGTCCCCACTGGGGGAGGTGGACACAAGGGGTCATTATAGACAGACTGCCCCATGCTGTTTTTAAGGTCCAGTTTAAGTCTCCTTCTCCAGAAAGCCTTTGCTGGCTGTTCCAGCCGATGTTGTCTCTTTAGTCCATTTTCCAGCTCCATCCTTTTTACAGATGGAAGGACCAAGGCCCAGTGTGCATTTCCTCATGAATATTCTATTGGCTACTGATTGCATCAGTGCCAAAGTGAGCTGTTTTCGTGGCCTTGGCTGCTAGGAAGCTCATTGCTGGTTTGTGGCCCATTTCTGATAAGCGCTCAGGATGCTGTGGCAAGCAGTTGCTCGGTAGCCTTGCCTCTGGCTTTATTCTCCTCTCTCTCATTTTTTTCCTTGTTTCTGTGTCTTCTCTTATTTTTCAGCTTGCGCTGTTCTCAGCAAGCTCAAACTCTTTTAGAAGGGGGTGGGGTATAAATAACCAAGAGTGGTCCTAAACGAAGCATTCAACACCAACTGTGGCCAAATGCTAGAGCTTCCCTGTCCTAGGGGCAGCTGGGGTGGGGGGTCTCTCCTGAGGACAGGCTTGGCCTGGACCCCAGAGCTTGACCATGGTGGCCCTAGTACAGTGCCCACCCTGCCCTCCATGGATTGGGAATGGCATTATTCGGCTGCCCGCCCTCTTCCTCCCCCCTCCCATCTTATCAGAAGCTAATGAAAGAGGCTGGGAAACCCAATCCTCTGATAATTAAATTTACTTAACGGGTATTCAAGTGGAGTAATGAGAAGTTTAATGCAGTGATTAGATTTTTCTTTAATTAATTAAAATGAGAACCATGTGTCTTGCCAGCAAACCAACTTGACCTTCTGCTTTGAGAGTAGTAGGCAGAGACAGCAGGGGGCTTCGCTGAGTGTGTGGGGCTGAGGGGTGCTGCAGTGTCCTGCTCTGGCACTGCCATTCTCAGAAGTGAGCCCAGCTCTGATGCCCACTCAGGCCAATCTCTGATTCAGCTCCTATTTCTGAGCCCTGTACGTGCCAGGCCTGGGCCTTACCCAGGATGGAGGTTTCAGAGGAGGGTCAGCAAGAGTGGCTTAAAGCAAGGAGCACTAAGGAGGGCTTTCAGGCACTGTGACAGGAAGAGGTATTGTGTGGCATAGCTCATTGCCATGTGCCAGCCGACACCTTCACCTGCATGTTCAGCCAGACCTGGGTTTACCTCCGCTGACACTGGATTAGCTGGGCTAATGGAATGGGGACCTTGGGGGGTTGGGGGGGTGGTGGATATCAGAAACCTGAGGTAACCACAAACCACTTCTCCGTGGCTGGGGAATGCCACCATGCCAAAAGGCTGACCATCCTTGCTGTGTTTCTGAAGGCCAGGTAGGGCTGCATGGATGTACTTTCCACCATGAATCACCTCTGCACAGGGGTCAGGCAGTGGCTGGGGCAAAGCATAGCTGTCTGGAGTGGAGCACAGGATGGGTCTTGCCAGTGTCGAGGGTGGGGATCCCAAAGACAGGCCCTGGCACCCCAGGGGCAGGATATTTTGTTGTCAAAGCAATGGGTAAGGCTGGGGAGAGCCCTGAGCCTTTCATGGTGAAGGGGTGGCAGAAAACTTTCTTCACTGAGCCCTGACCCCAGACCCACGCTGAGCCCTGATCCTAGATAGACTGAACCTTGATCCTGTCCCATACTGAGCCCTGACTCCAGCCCCACGCTGAGCCCTGATCCTAGATAGACTGAATCTTGATCCCCATCTCATACTGAGCTGTGACCCCAGCCCCACACTGAGCTTAGCGTTGTCATGGATATATCAACAGAGAAACAGGTGCTGGGGTGGGAGAGGGCCATTGCTAGCTCTGCTGCCTGTGGGCAGGACTCCTGTGCCAAGCTCCACACTCTGGAATGGACAAGATGAATCAGACATTGTCCCTGCCCACAGGACTGGTGGGGGAGGTGAGAAGCGAACAGGCAGTGATAGCAGAATGATCAGAGTGGAGGGATGTCCAGAGGGCTGGGGGGCTGTGGATCTGCACTTAGGGCTTTCCTTTGGCAGCAGGTGGGTGGGGGAGGTGCTGGAGGCAGGGGCCAGTGGGGAGGCTGAGACAGCTCTCAGGGTCTTGGTGTGGTGAGAGATGAGGTAGATGGCACCCATGGAGGGGTGGGGGCCTAGGGTGAGTGATTCTCCCCTAAGAACTTGCTGTGGCTCCCCCGGGCCACCCTCAGCTCCTGAGGAACCAAAGGTCTCACTTGTGGGGAGGGTTGATAGTGTGCCAGGCACTAGGCTGATATGTTACTTCACAAGAAAGGCATTTTTCTCCATTTCACAGGAGAGGAAACGGAGATGTGAGGACTTGCCTGATGCTACTCATGGCTGTAGCATCCTGGTGAGGTGTGTTCCCAGGTCTGGCTGCCTCCAGGTTGGCACACTGCTGTGCCCACCAGAGAGCTTGCCCTGGGCGGTGGGGCGCCTCTTCTGGCTGCTCCACCCTCACCTGGGTAAATATAGCCTGGGCACTGAGCAGGGGACCTGAGCTTGGAGCCAGTCAGACTGGCATCCATGGCTTCCAACCCCAGCTTGGAGTGGGGGAATCAGGGGCTCCTGGCTGGGTAGGGGACTAGCCCCAGGAAGGAGGGTCTTCTGCTTCCTTCATCCCTACTCCTTCCCTCTCTGGATCCCACGCCTCTGGATTTCCACTCCCCCACCCCATTTCCTTCCATGGCCCAGCCCTTTCTGAATAACCAGGCTTAGAGAAACCACTGAGCCAGCCACCCACCACCCATGTGGGGAAATTGAGGCCCTGAGAGGGGCAGGAACCTACTTAAGTTCATGGGGCTCTACCTCTCATATCTCTTTAAGGTAAAGAGTCTGAAATCACATTCTATTGAATTTACACTTTAAACGCAAGAATCGTATTTGAATACTTTCCCTCCAAGGGAGGCTGGGTTGGGGGGCATGTGCACACAGAAGTTCACACTGCACTGGCACATACCCTCAGGAAGCCACCCCCGCCTCCTTGGACCGTGCCCCCAGATATGTCCATCTACCCTCCCTGGGTTCCAGGGGCTGCAAACACTGTCTCATTCAATCCTCTCAACAGTCTGGGAAGGCGCATTATTTTCTACAAGTGAGGGAACCGAGGTCGGGAACTAGGCCATAGTCACACAGCTAACTGCAAGGGGGAGTGCTGGGCAAGCGCAGATGCTCAGCCCCAGCCACCACCTTGGATTATCCCCTCTTTACCTGTGGGCAGTTTCCCCTTCTAGGGCCCCCAGCACCCCTCCCCCACTGCTGCTTCCCTACTTGCCTTGTGCTGCAGCCCAAACTGGTGACTCCTCCCCAGCACTCCCCACACTTGCCCACCCCCAAGCACTTGCTCAAGCTGTTCCAGTCCCTGGAGCTCCCCTCTCCAGTCCCATCTGCCCAGCTCCCTCATCTTTCTAGGCTAGCCCAAAAGCCATTTCCTTCATGGAGCCCCCTGTCTGCCCTCACCCTGCTCAGAAGCCTGGCCGTCCCCTGAGAACCATCATACAGCTCTTCGCCTGCCCTGCTCTGAGGTGCCTGAGCTCCCTGTCTGACTTTGCAGCTGGGTGGAGGGCAGGGGCCTCTCCTGGTCTTTGACTTCCCGGCCACTTACCCCCAGAGCCTAGCACACAGTAGGTGTGCAGGAGGTTGCTGGGGTCCTTGCCTTGGGAGAGGCTGCATCTCCACAAACCCATCCCTTTCCTCAGCAGTCCTGGGTCAGCTAGCCCCACCCTCACTCTCACGCCAGGCTCCTGAGGAGACCAGCCGCTTACTTGAACCTTGGCTGGGTAGAGGTGAGGGCTGGCTCTGGCCCCAGCAGAGCGCCCTGTGCATGCTTCCCATCTGCCCAGATTCTGAAGGCAGAGACAAGGCAGACCCCACCCTTGGGACTCACAGGCCCGTCTTGGAGCCCAGCAGGTGCAGGTACTGGGGAATCCAGCCCCGTGTACTGAGCACTGGTGGAGGGCTGCATGGACATTATGCTCTGCAGGCTCGGAGCAAGTCTTGTAACCTCTCTGTGCCTCAAGTTTCCTCATCTATTAAATGAGGTGATGACAAACCTTCCTAGGGTTGCTATGAGGACTGACGAGTCAGTGCAATGTAAAGCACATAGCACAGCCCCAACTTGGACACACAGTGTGCTGCCGGGAGTGTGTGCTGTCACCACTGTTACAGGAGGGGGCGGAGAGGCAGTGTGTGGGAAGGTGTTCACGGACAGTTTCCAGAAGGTGGAGGCACATGCGTAACAACCTGAAATGTGAGGCACAGAAGGCAGGAAGGGACGTTCTGGGAAGAGGGAATCTCATGGACAGAGGCCCAGAGACAGCCTGGGGGACAGGCAAGGGAGCTGGGCACGGCCGGACTTAGGGCAAGAATGGGATGAGGGCGACTACATGC